TTCCGTCTGTGTCCGCTAGGGGCGGGCTAGCGCGGCCATCTTGGGGTCAGAGCGTTGCGCAGCTCAGTCTGCATCTAGCCGTGCTAGTGAGAGGTTCGTGCTGTGCTCCGTTCAGATACTGTGACGGTTTGAAATGTCTGCGTTAATTGAAAATCCCGCGAGCTGCGAGGTGCGCTCAGTAATAAGGTTTCTGACTGCAAAAAACTGTAAACCGATAGAAATCTATCGGCAGCTTCGTGAAGTGTATGGGGACAACATTATCACTGAAGGTGGAGTGCGTCAGTGGGTCATAAGATTTCAAAATGGCCGAACCAATGTTCACGACGAAGATCGAAGTGGGAGACCCAGCATAGTGACCGCCGAACTTCTCGAAAAAGTCGATGCTAAAGTCCGTGAAAATCGAAATTTCACAATAACGGAACTTTCTTTGAGTTTTCCACAAATTTCGCGAAGTTTGTTGCACGAAATCATCAGCGAAAAGCTTGGTTACCACAAGTTTTGTGCAAGATGGATTCCAAAAATCTTGACAGAGGACCACAAAAATCAGCGAATGGCTGCAGCGTTGAACTTTTTGGACGCTTACCATAAGGATGGTGACTCTTTACTCGATCGCATCGTTACTGGTGACGAAACATGGGTGAAACATGTGAACTGTGAAACGAAATTGCAATCAATGCAGTGGGGGCACACAAGTTCTCCCCAAAAACCCAAGAAATGCATGCAAACAATGTCGGCAAGGAAGATGATGGCGACTGTTTTTTTGGGACAGAAAAGGTGTAATTTTGGTGGACTTCCTGGAAAGAGGCACTACAATAAACTCTCAAAGGTATTGCCAAACTCTCCAAAAACTCAGAAGAGCAATTCAAAACAAGCGCAGAGGAATGTTGAGCTCTAAGATCTTGTTGATTCACGACAACGCCCGGCCCCACACGGCAAATGTCACTCGTAAAGTTCTTGAATCTTTTAAGTGGGAGTTGTTTCCTCATCCGCCGTACAGTCCCGACCTGGCACCGAGCGACTTCCACCTATTCCCAGCAATGAAGAAGTGGCTGGCTATGCAGCGTTTTGATGACGACGCACAGCTGCAAGAAGAGGTAACGAAGTGGTTGAAGGCGCAGGCGGCCGAATTTTTCGACGAAGGAATTTCCAAGCTCGTACATCGCTACGATAAATGCCTTAATTTGTATGGTGACTATGTAGAAAAGTAGTATTTGAGTGTGGCTTTCATCTGTATATAATAAAATTTGTTTCCTATACTTTGTTTATTTTTTTATTCCAAAACGTAATCTACTTTCTGGATAGCCCTCGTATTTATATATATCTCCACTCTGTTACCGGCCTCAGTGAGATCTCAGTTTCTTTACTCTTATATGTTTGTAAATTGTACATTTTTGCTTAAATGATTGAATTATGTTTGTTCTTGTCTCCAGTTAAGGTTTTTATGCCTTTAGTAAATCTGTATGCAATATTTTTAGAATTATCAACAATTTTAAAGTTGTTTAAGTGCCACTAAGCCTAATACTTTTTTTGATGGCGGCCATTGCTTGTTTACATTTGAAACAGCAGAGTAGTGGATTTGTTGCCAATCTAGAGAAACGTAGCTTCGCAACAACAAAGATAACACCTTCACTTATTATCGCAAATTAAATCATGCTTAATCTTTTCTGGAATTTTTTCAAGTAAATAAGTGTTTAAGATTTACTTAATTTTTAATAATTAGTAATTTTTAATACAGATATTTTGAGTTTTTATGTATTTTTGCCTTGTCGCGAAGTGAGAACTGAATTAATTGAATGATCAATACTCAATCGTTTGTGAAAAACTGTTTCTTTTTTGTTTTGTTTGCTTAATTTCTATTATACATCGTTCTAGCTTTATTATAGTATTTGAATAGAACATGTGGCAACGATTAGATAATTCTCTAAATGATATAAATTTTCTGCATTCTGAGTTATAATATGAATGAAATATAATACTGTTAAGTGAACCTAGCGCCAGAGTATCACTATGTTAAACAAATAGAGTGAATTTTAAAGAATGCATTTATTCTATTGTGGTTTATGTGCTGTCGGCGAAGTAGATTTAATTAAATCCAATAAATTTAAACGAAATGCAAGAAAAAATGCGTATAATTTAATATTCCGTACAAGGAAGTCATGTGGTGTACACATCAGATTTTTTAAATTAAAGATTGTATTATATTGGAGCAACTGAATGTGATGTATAATTTATTTGTTTTTTAATATAAAAAAAATTACTGAATGTTGACGTATAATTTATTTGTTTTTTATATAAAAAAATTACTGAATGTGACGTATAATTTGTTTTTTAATATAAAAAATTAAGTGTTGAAATGTTTAAACAAATACAGTAGAATCCCAATTATGCTAATGTGAAGTGGGGCTAATTCAGATAACATGGAAGAAGCTGTACAGTACACATAACATAGCCCATATTATAAAAATAAAATTTTTTAAAAAATTAGGAATCATGATGAGATTATTATAATTTCTATTTAGATGGACGGCAATAAATTTTTAAATAATTCAGTTCAAGAGAAAACAGATTCTAAAGAACAACTCTAAGAAAGCATATTACATGCGAGAGTAAAAAGGTGCCATTATTTGTTTAACAGGGTGACATGATTTAGCATGAGGTGAAAAACAGAAAATAGTTTAATAAAATAAACTATACACACATGGTTTTTCGTAAATCAGTATGGCTGGAATCAAACTGCAGGTGATGAGAATATCAAGAAAAGGACTATTTTTGCTCTCAAAGAAAATGGACTTGCATCTGATTGCTCTAGACATCAATCGAGTTTTACTCAAACTCTACACCAAACATAGGTTGCTTTTTTTTGCCTGTTTTAAATAATGTCAATTGCATCAGTGCTAAGACACCTCAAAACATTTTATAAATAAATAATTATTACCATTTTTCTTCTTGCACTCATTCAAAATGAACAGAAAAGCAATTTTTAATCCATCCATAATTACAAAATTGGCAGTTTTGTAATTATCAATATGTTAGTTTTGTTGGAGATCAAGAATATCTAAGTTCTAATTAAAGTACAAATAATAGGTTCTAACTAAAAAAATTCTCATTCAAAAGAAGCCAATTTTTTATGAAACATAATTTCTTCTGAATAAATAACTTCTGATAAAACATACGTTGAAATTAATTTTCAACTTTCAATCCAAAGATCTAAAACTCAAATTAGCACCTACAGTAAATACAAAAGTTTTCTTCAAAGGGATTTTTTTAGTAATAGGAAATCAAAAACTCTTTTAGTTATTTATAACAATTACCTGCTTTTATTTTACGCAATACACTGCAAAATACACAAACCAGTTACGATAATGAAATTTAATATCTGAAACAGTCTTAACAAAAATTTTTTTCATGAATTAAAATTCTCTAGACATGAGATTTATCACAACACAAAACTTTTCACTAAATGAAAATCCAGTTTTTTCTAAAATACTAAATTGTCTATTCTAATGACAAAATTGCTGAAATAACCCTATTCATATAAAAATTCTTTTAACTTTGAAAAATACTTACTGCATCCCAAAGGTCTCATTTCTGCATTCTGAGTATAAATTTGAGATATATCTGCAATTCTCTTGCACAGCATATCAACAGGTATCGAGTATCCGAAACGATACCTCCAATTGGCTGCTTCATATCTAGCTCTCTGAATCTGAGAATGCCCATCAGCTACACAGATATATAAATTTTAAAAACTTCAGATCACATTATTTAGAGAATAAAAAAACAAGTATTTTATGTTTAAATTGGAATACTGATTTTACTACATTTTATTAATTTACTGATAAAAAAAGTACAATATAAACAGATACTGATTTTAAAGATATCAAAAATTTTCTTATTTATGTCTGACAGGAGAGAAAAACCTATATTTCAGCTTAAAATACTATAAAATTAAATAGCTTACTTAAGCTATTTAATTATACAGTATTTTAGTGGACTCAAACTCTTGGCCCCTGAAGCAATTTTATGGAGCCCACAAATACATTTAAATTGTATATTTGTGGCAAATATGGTGTTTATAGGTTTTGAGACAAAGATATGGGGTCAGCTTATGTGCACAACTGCTACTGAAGGGAAAAGGAATGAACAGTTTAAGGTTTTATCCAGTATGTCTGCATGCCAGGCTACATGACTAGAGTAACGCAGGAGAATTACCCAAACTGATAAAGGTCAATAAATTTAGTTTGCCAGCTAACAGTTAGCAAATTAAATTTACTGACTGTACTGTTTGAAATAAATGTTAGTCTAAAATTTAATACTTAGCCACCAATGCATATGAATTATAAGTATGATCAAGAGGAATTCTTTGCAGGTACCAACTTTCAGACTTCAGATAGGAAATAAATATAAATTTGTATTTTTTTCCTTTGTGTCATTATTGTTATATATGTTTTGATAAATAATCTATAGGTGAAATTCAAAATTTGTTTTATTTTACTTTTATATTTTTGTTTCATTGTAAATGTTTAAATTTTGTTAAAAAAAAATATCGCAGGCCATCAGCTGCTTTCAGATTGTGTACTTGGACCGCCTGCAATTCGAATTTGAGAACACTGGCTTAAGACAAAAGTTTTAAAGGTTAACTTGAAATTTAATAAAAAGACGAAAAGTAAAAAAAAAAAAAAAAAAAATCCTGTTTAAGCTATTTACAAATCTTAAATATGGACACGTGTTGTTATACTTTGTAGATAAATACAATGGTACCTTGGTGTATGTCATTAATCTGTTTCCAATCCTTGGATGCCTATTAAACAAACTTTTCCAACAAGCAATAAAATGAAAATAAATAATCAGTTCTTAAAAAAAAAAAAAAATCCTACAGCTATTATAATTTAATACTAAAATACAAATGCAGTGGATGAAACATATACTGTACATAAATGAAACTGCACACAATATTGTACATGAATGTTTTTCTGCTATATATATCAAAAGCAACTTTTCGCTCTAGCATCTCTGATCTTTGTTAGGCAAACAATTTCATCTGCTTCACAATGCTAGCTGATTTAATAGCGTCTTTGTTTTTCACAATAATAAATATCTTAGTACTCATAGCATATGATGTGCATTAGTCAAGGCCTGGATACGCATAGCATCTTGACACTTTTCAACTCTGTGGTGATCCTAACAATTTTCTTTGTGATTTGACTCTTCTCATTAATTTTCCTAAAACTCTTGTTAATATATTTTCAAAGAGAAAAAAATACACAAAATGTAAGTTATAGTATGGGTCGTTCGCTGAATAGTATGAACAGTAGCAACTGGCGCATATGAGCAGTTGTTGCATTGTCGTGGAAGAGAAACAAGTGCAGTCCTCTTAGTCGTGACCCACCCAGTTGCAGTCATATTCCAAACAAAAATTTTCATGTACGAAAAGGACTTATACTGAGGTACCATTTAGTTATTTTTAAACACTCTTAATAAGTAAATTTAAATTTACTTTATGATGCATGATATGATTCCTAAAATCCTATAATGACAAACATTTTCAAAACAAAAACAGGAGAAAAAAAGAGAAGATAAATCATAATTTATTCAATATAATTAGCATGCTTCAGAAAATTAATCATACAAAACTTATCCTATTCTCATCAAAAGATTAATCTCACCAACAAGACCAGTCATAACAGCTCCAATATTTTCAGTTAAAGTGTAGATATGTGATACTGATGATGGATCCAAAAGCTTATCCTTTACAGAAAAGAAAAAATAATAAAATTGTATTACTTTGCTTATTAATTATATAAAAACATCTTACATATACGATGTTTTACAATTTTAAAGCTAATTAATATGAATTCCTCCTAAAAATGATAAATTTATGTTATCTTTCTTATTTTAAATACTAATTCAACACTTATAAAATTATTATACGTAACAATATTACGATTTACATCAGAAATTCTTAGTTTATTAACTTCAAAATTGTCTAGATGTCAAATTGTTCATGAACAAATTTTAGATTTGGTAAGAAAAATGGAAAACTAAAAATTTGATACATTTATGGAAAATATAATTCACATATCAGAGAAGAAATCAAAACATATATAGATACTCCATTGTTAATATGCCTTTGATAATACAGTCAAAAGTCTTTAATCCGGACCTCAAAGCTACAAACTTTCTGCACATGCGCATATTATGTTTACACATGCGCGTTTAATGTATAACAGACTGTATAAGCTAGGCTAAAATTATCTTTACTGATTCTAAGGCATTTCAGTTAATGTTGCAGATTGTGCTGTTCCTTAATCTTCTAATTGGATGCGGCTTATTATTTTTTGTAGACTGTTAGAGAAATTTTATAAAAATTAAGCTTGAACTTTCGATTATGTCAAAAAGAGTTTCCAATTCTGGAGCTGCCAAAGGATCTACAAAGCGAAAGCATGTTTCGATGTCCATCAAACAAAAAGTAGAATTGCTCCAAAAAATGGATAAAGGCATATCCTTTGATTCTCTAATCATTCTGAAATATGTTTATCAATTTCATGCTGCTCTGCAAGATGAGGGGGGGGCAACGCGGTGCACGCAATGAACTGGAAGTTGATCTGTCAGCACTATCCTTATCTTCAGGGCAGATGTTTTTATTTTATTTGGCTTATAATTCCTTACTAAATGTAGTATTTCATCTTGATGTACTCCGTCTTTGACATGATTTAAATCAAATTCCTCGTCATTATAAATATCACGAATACACATCAAATAGGTTTAGAGTAGACTTTAAGGTACCCCTCGTATTATGGCAAAGTTGTTGTTTGATTTATCTACAAGTTGTTGTTTCATTTATGGTAGCTGAATAGGCCCTTGAAACCGAATAGTACCGTAATTTATTGTATTTTAAAACTAAATGTGCTAAAATGGAAATAAACAAAAATTAACTAAATTGTGAGTGAAATTCTGAAGTGGGGATCAACTTATACACAGTATATTATTTTAGTATGTATCATCTAAAGAAGGAACACCTCTATTTACGGGATAAAATGTCAGGTCTTGTGAGTATCTCTTATGAGGGAGAACTACTGAATATACAGGTACAATCTATTACCCACTTCTATATGTATTTGTCTGCTAAATGCACACATAAATACACTCTTAAGGCAGAGGCAACAGAACATATGCTGGTACTGGTATTAGTTTCCATGGCATTCAACACTTTCTTCCATAACTACCGAAAGTGTCGACTGTGACCTGCCCTCACTAGTCTTGTTACTTTCTAATGACCAGTACTCGTACAAATTTCAATGCACACATACAAACACAATGTGGTGCAGTTGACATCTATATGGGTAGCATTCTCGCTAAATTTCAGTGGCTCGTCCACTGCCCTCAGCTATTCCATACATTAAGGGCATTACCCATTATATGCTGGCTACCATTTGAACAGGGAAATCCTAACTATCCCCTCCAATGCTCTAGTGCAGAGCAACCCCTAAGAGCATAAGAGTTTCTGGTCACGGGCTGCTAATTCTCAATCCTTATGAGGTGTATTATATCGCATATTCTTGCCAGATTTGTTTTAGACACCCTGTATACGTCACACTCTACAAAGTTATGTTTTTTCAACACCAAAGATGCTATTAAACTTGATCCTCACTTTTGAATCTTTTTTTTTTTTTTTTTTTTTTTTTCCAAATAAAAAGATGCTGTCACCAAATGTTATCACCATGTATTATTTTTAGAGAAATAATATACTGAAAATTAAGAAAAATGTATGGCAACAGAAATAAAAGGATGTTGTCACCAAATGCTATCGCCACATATTATTTTAAAAGAAATACTATAGTGAATATAAAAAAAAATCAATGGCGATTTTTTAGACTACTAATTGGAATTCTAAAAATACATTGTTTTTAAATATTTTGTGATTTTGCTTTGCTGTTGAATTTCATGTGATGTAAGAAACAGGGTCACCACTCGCACAGAAGAATAAAATTCCCTGGCTTTTCCAGGTGTGTTTTATGAGAATTTCAGTTTATGAATAGTGCATGCTGGCAGTGCTGAGAGGTAAATTAATTATGGTACCACATGAATGCACCATATGACTTATAATATATATATATAAACTTCAAAGCATTACTATTATGGTACCACATGAATGCAATATATAAACTTCAAAGCATAACTATTATAACTATAATAGGGAGTTGTTTCCTCCACTGAAGACAGAGATTAGAATCTGCCCAATCTGGAATAAAAAATGTCTTTTTTTCTTTCAGACATTTTGCAGCTAAACGAAAGAATAAAGTCTATTTAATGATATTTTTATATAAATTTAGGTATTTTCAGATTTATTTAGTTGCATACATAAGCAAAAAATATATGCATTAAATTTCGTGATAGCGTGCCATCATACTGTTAAAATTAGTTTCAGGCATATATATGCCAGAGAAAATTGCTTGAAATCTGAAAATATTTAAAGATTAAAAAGTGAATTGCAATAATAATTGATATTTTGGTGAATACAGTCAAAAGTCGTTAATCCGGACTCGTCGGGACTTCAACGATTCCGGATTATCGATTTTTTCGGATTATAGATCATCAGTTTAAATCTGGTAAGATGGCATGCAGAAATTATAAAATTAAAAATATGAAACCGTAATTTATGAAATAAACAGCAATTATGATCTACAAGGTATCAAAATTTACAAAAAAAAAAAGCTTAATATTTATTTGTTTACTTTATTAAACATTACTTTCAATGTAAGTTGTTTAAGTTGCTTCGTTTTTTATGTGATAATACATTCTCTTTAATTCTATAAACAGACATAATTTCTTGTTCAGTTACAAAGTTCCGCTTCCTATAATTGCTGTGTCTACCAACTAATTTGTCAATCGAAATTTTTTCGTTTTCAATAACCTCTGTCACTTTTTTCGCTATCGGAAGCAAATTTTAATGACGAGGAATTTGATTTAAATCATATCAAAGATGAAGTACATCGAGATGAAATCTACATTTAATAAGGAATTATAAGCCAAATTAAATAAAAACATCTGCCCTGAAGATAAGGATAGTGCTGACAGATCAACTTCCAATTCTTTGCGTGCTGCAGTGTTAAAGATAAACGGATTACCTTTATCCACTTTTTGCAGCATTTCCACTTTTTGTTTAATGAACTTCGAAATATACTTTTGCTTTGTAGATCCTTTACATATTAATAAATATATATCAGAAATTCTATTTGACATAATCGAAAGTTCAAGCTTACTTTTATAAAATTGCTCTAACAGTCCGCAAAAAATTATAAGCCGGATCCAATTCGAAGATTAAGGAACAATGCAATCTGCAACATTAACCGAATTAGATAATTTTAGCTTAGCTTACACCGTCCATTATACATTAAACGCGCACTCGTAAACGTATTTTGCGCACGCGCACAAGCATATTCGCAGCCGTAAAGGTACGTCAACGCGACGCATGCGCAGAAAGTTTGTAGCTTTGAGGTCCGGATTATGGGTGTCCGAATTAACGACTTTTGACTGTATAGTTATATTAAATGGTTAGCCTTAGATGACCGATTACAGTCAAATACCGAAAATCTGCTGACCTGAAATCTGCGTTGCCTCTCAGAATATATACATTCAGTTTATAGGTTCGGGAAACCGCAACATTGAGTACGAAATATCGAAGAAAAAAATACTTACTCAATAATGAAGTCATAATTACCGAATAATCATGAGTCAAAACGGAAATACCAAATTATTGCTATAAAAAAATTTTTAAAAATAAGATAAAATAAATAAGTTTTTTTCCCTCTAATCTGCATCGAGGTAAAAAAGCAGACGATTCACTCAACTCTTTGTTCAAGTTCACAATTCACGTTGTTGTATTTTCTGAGCTTTGTTATTTGATTTCACAAGATTGTTTAGTGCTGCCTTTTTTTTATCCGGATATTTTGTGGAAAAATTAAGAATATTTTTAATTTCAGCCCTTTTTAATACAATGACAGATAAGAAACAAACTCGTGATTTTACAGCTTGCAACGTTGAAAAACGTAAACACGTTGCATTGACGGTAACGCAAAAATCATTTGCAAATTCTGCAAAAGATGGAAGTAGGTGCTACTCCTCGATTTATAGCAGAATGGTATGGAATTGCCACACGATTTTGTATGATATACGGAAAAATAAAGAAAATCTGTTGAAATTTTACAGCAACAGTGATTCTAACACCGGAAATCTTTGAATGAGGCGAAATCGACAAACCTCGATGCTGTGTATATATAATAAATGAATAATATATCAATTTATGTATGTAATAATAATTTAATGCATATAATAAATTATTGCAATAATGTATATAATAATTTAAGTAAATGTATCTAATACAGCTTATTCATTTTGCACTTTTACTCCGAATATTATGCTTTATCTTTTTTGTCCTGAAATCCGCACAACCTCTGGTCCCAAGCTTTGCGGATTTCTGGAATTCTACTGTACTATTTTCTTATTTTACCACAAAATAACAAATAAGGTATTTAAAGATTCGACTAAAGTGCAGAATCGCCCACTTCTTTATTTGGCGTTTGTTTGGAGCTTTTTACAAGAGTAAGAAGAATTAGATTTTTGTCAATTTTCTTCGACTTTTTAAGTGAAAATAGGTCGATGTGTACATGAATAAAGTCAAGAGAGTGCGCAATTCCATTTTTGAGCAATTCTGGAATGTTTTTTAAAGTGAAAATAGGTTGATGTGCACATGGATACCGAGTTAGTGTAATTCTTAAGAACGTGACAAGCAGTGGGCGATTCTGCACTTTCCTCAAAGATTCCGTGGTAAAATACTAGAATACAGTATGGCCTTGACAAGATTTTGAAAATTGTTGCCTACATCAAAATAACCTGTTTACTGCTCATCATAATGTCTCCAAATCCCATGTGTACTGTATACTACGATTAAACGGATTTTGCTTTATACTAGAATAGGAAGGTGTTTTCTTTTGTTCAACATGCACTGCGCATGCGAGTCTCAATTATTGAGGTTATTGGAAACTTGCTTTGCCTTAGATGTGATAATTGGCCCTACACCAGCTGCCGAATGACGTTCACGTGATACACAATTCGGCAAGCAAGGCATCACTTCTAACGTTGGCTCAAAATTCATTTTTTTGTTTTGATCACCATATGAAATTACCTGACTTTTACAGATTTTGACTAAAATATTTAAATTCCCTGACTTTTGTGGTCAATTTTTAAATTTCCCGACTTTTCCTGGTTTTACCGGTAGCATGGCAACCCTGAAGGAGGAAAAAATTGATATTTTATAAATAAAGTTAGAAGAAAAAAAATTTTTTATCCTTTTCTAAGAAAACTGAATGTTGATATGATGAACTGAGAAATATTACAGCAACATTTAATTTAACATCAATGGTAACTTATTAAGAATTCTAAACATATATTCCTTTTAAAAATTCTTTAATTTTATCATTTAATGTGGCATAAGTGTGAAGAAAGTAATGTTTAATTAATAAAGATAAAAGACTCCGCCTAAAAAGTTGTGTGGGTCTTGTAGAGAAAATTGAACACTGAAATGGTGAACTGAAGAAAGAAAAAAAAAAAAAAAAAAAAACTACTGAAAGGTTTCAGATTTTAAACTACGTCCAAAGGGGTGTTTTTTTAACGTTTTGTGTGTTACCTTTATTTATTAAATATCATGTTCTTTGCACTTAAACCATAAAATTCAGTTCAATAGCAATGTCAAAAAATAATTTTAAAATGAGCATATCTTTAGAATTTCCAATACACAGTTCCGCGTGCTGGAGATAAAAAGGCTCTAGTGTAAAATTTGGTGCCCCTTCGATTAGCGACAATTTTTTTAAGAATTTGGCGATGAAACCTCACTTCAGGTTACCTTGATAGTTTTAACTTTATTTTAGCTTTCTGATTTTATTTAAATGAAAATAGATTGATGTGTACATGCACAATGCCTAGTTTGTGCAATTCTGGGATTTTTTTTTAAGTGAAAACAGATTGATGTGTAAACGGACACGGAGTTTGTGCAATTCTTTGACTTCTTATTTTGGTTTTGTATAGTGGCCGTCTTGAAATTGTGCCTTCTTGGCATCAAAAAAGAATCGTCAAAAAACAAGGGGGCATTCTTAATCATGTAAACAGACTTAAAGAGAAATTGAAATGATAATAAACAAATTATACTTACAGGAACTTTTTTTTGAGTAACTAAAACGGCTACATCCTTTCCTTTTAATCCAATGGATGTCAATCCACCTTGATTAATAGCTTTAAATGCATATTCTAGAGTAAACATAAAAGATGCTCTAATTTTCAAAATTATATATATTTGAAATTATTTTTAACATAAATTTGAAAGAGCTGATTCATGGTTAGTAAAACTGTTTCAAGAGCTTATAAATTTATTATCATATATTATTTGACTAAATACTTTTTTAGCCTACTAGATAATTTTTACCAAGTTCTTGGTTTATTAAAATAAGTTTTCGCTAAAGTGCAGAATCGCCCACTTATCTGTTTGGCGCTTTTTACAAGAGTAAGAATTAGATTTTTGTCAATTTTCTTTGACTTTTTAAGTGAAAATAGGTCGATGTGTACAAGGATAAAAGTCAAGGGAGTGCACAATGCCATTTCTGTGCAATTCTGGGGATGTTTTTTTAAGTGATAATAGGTCGATGGATACCGAGTATGTGCAATTCTTAAAAACGCGCCAAGCAGTGGGCGATTCTGCACTTTCCCCTAATTTTTTTCTCATATGATAACATCAACAGTGTATTAAAAATATATGTAAAGAGATATTTATTTGTGGTGCACCGTGATACATTTTGAAATAAAAAAGCTACGCATTACACAAATTTTCAAGAACAATAAAGAACGGAACACACTCTAATAATTTAGCAAACTCTGGCAACGAGTTCAAATTTAGAATTAAAAAATAATATTACTAAACATTTACACTAACCAACTTGATAGAGCCGCCCTTCAGGCGAAAATATAGTTATATGACGATCAAAACCGGCACTACTACCTCTCGCCATGACAACACAAAAATGATTCTTCGGATTTTAATGCAGTTCAGTTTAGTTGTACGGCGCTGCTTATGATCATGACGAAATGCGTTGACAGTTCAAGGAGCATTCGTTAAGATCACGGAATATCTTAACGAATCTATTATACTCCGTGGTTAAGATATTAGAATTAACGTCGTCAGTATATTTGGCTGTTTTACAAAACAGCCAAATATACTGATGATACCACTATTATATCACGTTCACACAAACCACACCATGTCATAGAAAATTTACAGTTTGGAATTAGCTTCATAAATCTCTGGTGTAAATCATGGAAATGCAAAATAGACGTCAGCAAGAGTAATATCGTCCTATTTAGAAGGTCTCATAAAAATCAGCCAATTACTATTAACATTACAATAGATAACTCTCCACTTCCAGTTGTCAGTTCAACAAAATATCTAGGAGTCATTCTAGATGAACAATTAACGTTTAAAGATCATGTGGTATATGCCTTAAACAAAGCCAACACCGCCTTCATGTCGATTTACAATTTTATCGGGCGAAAATCAAAATTGAATCCCAATATGAAGAGAACTTTATATCTTACGTTAATTCGGCCAGTATTTTTTTATACAGCTCCATGTTGAGCCACCGCGCCAAAATATTATCGGCGCAAGATCATCGTCTTCTAAAATAAAATCCTTATAAGCATAACAAATTCAGCGTGGTTTGTCAAACATCAACAGAAACATCAGGATTTAAAAATTCCTCGTGTCCAAAATTATTTATTGATGACAGCGCATAACTTCTTCAGAAGTGTACATAATTCAGAACATCATCACATCGAACAACTCGCAAACTATGATCCAAGTGCATCCATTCAAGCGTCCTCGTACTTTGCATATTAAACTTCGCCAAAGCAGGCCAAAAGTGCAATAACCTCGTTTTCTCCCTGCTCATAGTTAATAAATCTCATCAAAGCAACATATAGTAAACTAAAGACTGTGATTTAACTGGCAAAGCTTTAGGACTTTTGTTCTGAATTCTCCAAATCTTTTTGCCTTTCATTTATTATGTATTCAACTTTCAGATAACTTGCAAAGAAATAGACTTTGCCCCAGACAAAGCGGGAACATGACTTTGTTGTACCTTACTTCAACCCATATTATTACTCTCAACGCATTTTTATTATTCTAGAATTAGCGTATTTATACTTGGCAAATAATTTCACAAGAATACTATTTCTTGATATATAATCTACTTCATGTACGTTTATTAAGTTTCAACTTTATTTTGCATTACGCCATCTAGTGGCTAAAAGGTGGAAACATTAAAGCTCGGTATTTACGTTTGACAATGCTACCTAGTTTGTGAAGCGTGTTGTGATCGAAAAGTAATTAAACGTTTTATTTTTTATTGTTGTGGGCATATGTATAACTTAAAAAGAAGTACAGACCACACGTTTTGTTGTGTACACTAGTCTAAATCACGAGCTTGCAAGGAACCTGAGTTATGCTTCTTCGCATTCTTGGTTCGAAAAATATCGAACGAGATAGCAAAACGAAGAGGGTATTCGCGTATTTCGAATTGGAAAGAAAGTTGGACATTATATGAACGTGCGTTCTAAGCATTTAAAAAAAAAGAAAACTCATTACATTTTTTCTCGTAAGAAAAGTTTTCTTTGTCGTGTATCATACATATAAATGTGTATGTGTGTTCTTCGAAAGTAAACATGCATATTTGTGTATTGAAGTACAAATCATTATAGCTCATTAATCTCTTAAATATTATTAATACACATACATATACAATTATGCTTTTATGCATATTTTACCTGCAGAAATTTAAATTGTGTTTCAGTTTATGTTAGCAATGATTTAAATGAAAATTTATAGAATGACACATATAAAAGTAAAAGTTAATTATTTTAACGTTAATGATGAACTTTGAATTTCATATTCTAGTAATGTTGAAATTTCTGTGTGTGAGTCATTTCCTGTTAAACTATTTAGAACTGTTTACAGTGGTTCAGGATAGTTAGCATAAAAAATTTCCAGTTCAGAAAATAGTTATGATGATGTAGTATGAGTAATAGTATAAAAAGTATTACAGATATCAAATCTTTTCCACTATAGAATAGCATGCACCAAACAATTTCTTATAAAATGATATACATACCATTGTTACTCGCTGAGCACAGTTAAATGTTTTTTCTCATCTTTTATAGCAATGTTCGTTTTGAAGTAAGTATTAGTAATAAAAAGTTTTTAAAGTAGCTTAAAAAAATTTTCTCCATGGTGAAAATTAGCTAATGATGAAAGTATTTTTTTCTCACTTGGAAGTATCAAACGGGCACATGTATCTTTTTCGAGAAAAATGTTTGTCTTATGTGTTCTGTAATGTAAAACACCCAAGTATTTGTTCAGTGATAAATATTGATAGGGGAGAGACACTTTTAGATAATTTCATTTCTCAGCCATTATTCAAAATATGATTGCATATAACTAAATAACTTTGGAGTAAATTAAACAGCGTGCACAGACATGTGTATACAGATATACAGGTTAGCAAATGAAAGCAAGGACTTGGATCAGTTCAGTAATTTATTAGATTGTTTATGTATTCCTGTTTTATTTATAACAAGCTTTAATTTTAGTAGAATAAGAACGTGTAGAACATTTAGTAGAATAAGAAAATACATGAATACACAGCCTTTTTAGTTGCAAGAAAAAGATTTTGCATAGTTATTTAATGATGCAACCATATTTATTATCTCAAACATTATCTTAGTTGTATTTCTGGGGCAAATATGCATTAATTCTCTTACCTATTATTATGTCGTTATAAAAATTCGATTTTATGGTGTTGCTTATATGTTCGTAACTAGAATTGGTGTCGATTCTATGCAGTGTTGATACCCGTAACTATAAGCCTCATCAGTGCTAAGAAGATTTAGCGATTTTTTTTTTTTTTTTTTTTTTTTTACTGGCACAATCTCAAAATTTTCATTGCCAGTATGTCATTGTTTGCGTACAGCACTTTTACTAAGAAAATTATAGTACATATAAAAAATGCTAAGGATAATAAAACCTTTGGTAACACCAGATATACATATTGATTTGATATTATCTGATAAACATTGAAAATGAATGAATAAATTTGTCATTAAAATATTTCGGAGGAGTAAAAATACATTAAATCATTTATATCAAGTCTTGCAAATCAATCTTAAGTTATGTTTTAGAATGATATATAAAAATCCGCATGTGTATCGTGTATGCAGTGTCTTCTGGATGCATATTCGTGTAAAACCGATGAACACTGGTAGTTCGGTCCAACTTTCGATCCCGGCAAACGGGCTGACTCCATGTGTGTTTTCTTGATTTTACACATGTGTATCGTTTATGCACTATCTTCTGTATGCATATGTGAATAAAGCGCTAAATCTGGTAGTTCGGTCCATTTTCGAATCCCGGCAAGCAGGGCTGACTGCATAGGTGTTTTCGTGATTTTCCGCATGTGTAACATGTTGGCAGTATCTTGTGAATATACGTCAATAAAGCGGGCGCAGCCCGGGTAAAATCGCTGAATACTGGTAGTTCGGTCCAACTTTCGAATTCCCGGTGTACTGTCCAGAAATTGTGGATGCATATGTGAATACAGCGGGCGCAGCCCTGGAAAAAAAAATCGCTGAACACTGGTAGTTTGCTCCAAATTTCGAATCCTGTCGAACGAATGCGGGTTTCAATGGTAGTTCGGTCCAATGAAAGCGGGCTTCACTGGTAGTTTGGTCCAACTTTCGAATAAAGGCCAATGAAAGCAGGCTTCTTCCCGCTCAAATGGCGGGCTTCTCCGCTAGCAATCATGCGAGCTAGCGTATATCTTGTGATTGCATACGTAAATCAAGTGACCTAACGTGAATAAAGCGGGCGTTCCACGAAAGCATCCCTTCCCTCATGTAGCGGGCTTGCCCGATAGTGATATATAAAACTGTCCCTCTCTAGCTACATCCCTGAAAGTAAGCATTAATTCAAATATTTAACAAATAGATTTGATCATATTTTATGCATCATGCAGACTATATTTCCAGCTCTTTCATTTAAGTGCAATTTATTTCCAATGTATGAACATGAATACTGTACAAGCTTAGTCACTTATTCGTAATTTAATTAAGTTTTTATATAAAAGTTAAAATTTACCAGGCAGTTGCTTAAAAAAAAATAGTTTAATAGATGTTGCTGTAATTTAACACTTTTGATTTTAATGTTTTCAGAAATTTGCTAAATCAAGTTTATCTTCGTGTGACCTTGCATCAAAGGCACCGATAATAAATTTGTTTTGGCATTTAGTGCTAAAATTTTTAAAGAAAAACTTATTATTGATGTAAAAGAAGGAACAAATTATATTTATCTTGGTAATATGTTCTTATGATATGCTTATTTACGGTGTCATGATATTGCAGTAACTTAACGGGCATTTCATATAACTTGTTTCTTAAGTTGCTTAACCTGTTTTCATAACATTTTGTTATCAAATATATATAAAAGGTAAATTTCTAATCAAATATTCTTCATTCCACAGCAAAAAGTTTGTAGCTTTGAGGTCCGGATTATGGGTGTCCGAATTAACGACTTTTGACTGTACTAAAAATAGAACCACACGTGAACAATTCTTAACTGTTACTAATTTAATAAAAGAAAATACAAGTATAATGTAAGACACAATCGAAAGTTGGTTCCGCTACGTAGACGATACTTTTACTCTGTTTGAAGGTAATAAAGATGATTTAAATAAAGTTCTTTCAACATAATTCTATTGATCCTGCTATTCAGTTCACTTTTGAACTTGAGACTTGCATTCTCTTCCGTTTTCGACATTCTGCACACGTAACACATCCAACTTCAGTACTACGGTTTACCGTAAACCTTCATCGGTTGCCTTCCACCACACTTTAAATCATGTCATCCGACTAAACAAAAGTTAGCTTCATTTTATTCCTATGTTTTCGTGCTCTTCAAGTTTGCTCCTCAAACTACCTTGATGAAGAACTAAATTATTTAAAAGCAATAGCTATTGACAG